GAGTACTTGTGGCACCTTAGAGACTAACCAATTTATTTGAGCATGAGCTTTCGTGAGCTACAGCTCACTTCATCAGACGCACCTTAGAGACTAACCAATTTATTTGAGCATGAGCTTTCGTGAGCTACAGCTCACTTCATCACACATCTGATGAAGTGAGCTGTAGCTCATGAAAGCTCATGCTCAAATAAATTGGTCAGTCTCTAAGGTGCCACAAGTACTCCTTTTCTTTTTGCGAACTCTTACATTGTGAGTCAGTGGTGACTGACATCAGCTCATCTTCATTAGATTCTTTTGCAGTGATACACGTGAGCACAAGATCATTAGGTTACATTTCTTAACTGACCCACCAAGGCACATGCCTCACCTGTGTAATTACATGATCTTTTTGCCTCTCCTTCCTTACCCCTAGGTCTTCCTACTATTTGATACATCCAGTGATTGTATCACTATTCTTAGGAGCAAGGACTAGGGCTGCTTGTACAGCAAAGTACCCACTACATTTTGCGGCACGATGAAAATGATTATGATCAAACTTTTATTTTAAAATTCCCCACATTGTAGCCCAGTATATTTTAGATTATACTATTCAGCCCAGGCACTGTCTTTATTTTTGTCCTGTAAAGTGCCGAGTATGTTGCTAATTTAAAACAAATAATCAGTGCAAATAAAGTATATATTTTGTAAGTAAATACTATGTTGTGAGAATGTAACATTTCCCCTGAAGTAAGGGAAAGGGAAAACAGTCCTTAATAACTGGAAAATAAGTTGTAGTGAGAATTAAAATGGCTCTTAGCGCTGCAGTTGCTTCTCTCTGCCCAGTGAAAATGACAGCTGCCAGAGGCTGTACTCAAAAGGGTTTGTATAAAAGCAGAGTTCTCAGCTGGTCAGGCAACGAGAAAGCAGGGAGCTCTTAACAAAGAGAGGACCAAATGTCCACGTCTCTGAGGGCCAGGGATGAAAAAGGAAAAAACAGCTTGAAATCTCCAGAATTGGAAACAGTAAAGGTCCCATATACATTAGTTAGTTTAATCCTTTTGTTTTACTATGACATTCTGTTAATATAATATCTAGATCCCTTTGGACTCATTCATTGTTCTCTTGCGTTGGAAGCACTAGTGGTGGTGAAGAAAACTGGTAATTCTAGAAAATCTGCCCCTTAACAATTGCTCACGAACAAGAGGACTACCTAAGGGAAAGCCCAAAAGGATGAGGAGCTAGCAGTCCATCTTAAGGTGCCAATCATAGCAGTGATGGAGAACAAATACAGTGCTATTGGTGGCCTATTAACAAAGTTGGCCCAAACTCCATATGCAGTGAGTATGATGGAGTTGATGCATGCTAACCAAGACAAAAAGATTCCAAAGAAGGCAGGCACTCTAGAAAGAGGAGAGAGAAGAAACTTAGAGCATAGGAGGAAGCTGAGACACACCACAAGTAATAAATGGGGGCAGCAGATGAAAAGTCAATGGAGCTTCTTAAGAATGAGACCCTCCCCGAGACCACATCATGTTTAAGGACAGGAGCTCATCATAAGCATCGATATGTCCCCTGCACATCTCATTGGTCAATCAGACTGGTATGCTATTTGATAGAGATCCAACAGGGCACACAGGGCAACTGAAGAATCTGACCACCACCATATGGCAAAGGCAATAATTCTTTGGCATTTCCTATTGACTCCACTTCTCTGAGAATCAGTATAAAGCGGATAATACATGAAGTTGTATTGTTCTGCCTTATAAGCAAGAGGCCTGAAGGGAAGATCAGTGTAGAAACAGCAGATCACATCTTAAATCAGTATATATACTTTGTCAGAGCCAAAAAGAGAATTGCAGAGTAAGCACAGGGCAGACACTTTAGCCAAAAGCTTCATTGTGGCAGAAAAAGGGAAAGAAGTCAGGTTACCAATGAGGCAGCCACAGATGGAATGAGTGGAACCATGCAACAGAGTAAGAGGTTTAGATTCACAATCATGTTTCTTGTGGCAAGCTAGAAATAAAATCTGCAAAAAAGGACCCCTGCTTTCTAATACACTCTGAAGCTGCAGAGATAAATTAGAAAATTGATGGTTTTCATTCTCATAGATGACAATATAATCAGTACCCTGATTTTCTTTTAATTAATTAAATTCACCTTATTTTTGGTGCAAATTTTCACTGTGCCACAAAATTTTGTTCTTCAAATGAATAATTGCATTGTACAAGTTTCTAGGGGGAACCTGGAGGTTTGGGACAGGACATTTGGAGTTTTAGGCTGCCACAAAGGAGCAGAAAATGATTTGGGGTTTTTACACCCAAGATAATTGAGTATTTTTGGACTGGGGAATGGATTCATCTTTATTAATCTAGGTTCATATCACACCCTCTATGGATAGATACGGCATAAACTCTGCAGCTGCAGAATACCCAGGCTGCACTTAATAGATGCTGCAAAGTTTAATATATATGGTTTTAGTGCCCTGAGAGTTAGAACCTGGCCAGAGATTCTCAGCTACAAGGAACTACTTTCTTATAAAATACAGTAGAATCTCAGAGTTATGAGCACCTTGGAAATAGAGGTTGTTTGTAACTCTGAACAAAACATTATGGTTGTTCTTTCGAAAGTTTGCAACTGAACATTGACTTAATACAGCTTTGAAACTTTACTATGCAGTAGGGCTGTCGATTAACTGCAGTTAACTCATGCAATTAACTCAAAAATGAATCGCATTTAATTGTAGTTTTAAATCACACTGTTAAACAATAGAATACCAACTGAAGTTTATTAAATATTTTGGATGTTCTTCTACATTTTCATATATATTGTATTCTGTGTTGTAACTGAAATCAAATTCTTTCACTGTAAAAATGGAACAAAAGAAATAGTATTTTTCAATTCATCTCATACAAGTACTGTCCTACAATCTGTGGTGAAAGTGCAACTTACTAATGTGATGGGGTTTTTTGTTGCTGTTTTGTTTCTTTTAACATAACTGCACACAAAAACAATATAAAAAACTTCAGAGCCTGCAAATCCACTCAGTCCTACTTCTTGTTCAGCCAATTGCTAAGACAAACAAGTTTGTTTACATTTACAGGAGATAATGCTGCCCTCTTGTTATTTACAAGGTCACCAGAAAGTAACAGGCATTTGCATAACACTTTTGTAGATGGCACTGCAAGGTATTTACATGCCAGATATGCTAAACATTTGTTTGCTCCTTCATGCTTTGGCCACCATTCCAGAGGACATGCTTCCATGCTGAGGATGCTTGTTAAAAAAAATAACAGAATTAAATTTGTGACTGAACTCCTTGGGGGAAAATTGTATGTCCCCTGCTGTTTTACCTGCATTCTGCCATATATATCATATTATAGCAGTCTCAGATAATGACTTAGCACATGTTGTTCATTTTAAGAACACTTTCACTGCAGATTTCACAAAATGCAAAGAAGGTACCAATATGAGATTTCTAAAGATAGCTACAGCACTCAACCCAAGATTTAAGAATCTGAAGTGCCTTCCAAAATCTGAGAGGGACGAGGTGCGGGTCATGCCTTCAGAAGTCTTAAAAGAGCAACACTCTGATGCAGAAACTACAGAACCCAAACCACCAAAAAAGAAAATCTGCTGATAGCATCTGACTCAGATAATGAAAATGAACATGCATCAGTTCGCATTGCTTTGGATTGTTATCAAGCAGAACCAGTCATCAGCATGAACACATGTCCCCTGCAATGGTGGCCGAAGCATGAAGGGACATATGAATCTTTAGCGCATCTGGCATGTAAATATCTTGCAATGCGAGCTACAACAGTGCCATGAGAAAGCCTGTTCTCACTTTCAGGTGACATTGTGAACAAGAAGCAGGTAGCATTATCTTCTGCTAATGTAAACAAACTTGTTTGTCTGAGAGATTAGCTGAACAAGAAGTAGAACTCAGTGGACTTGCGGGCTCTAAAACTTTAGATTGTTTTATTTTTGAATGCAGGGGTTTTTGTACATAATTCTACATTTGAAAGTTCAACTTTCATGAAAAAGAGACTGCACTACAGTACTTGTATTAGGTGAATTGAAAAATACTATTTACTTTGTTTTTACAGTGCAAATACTTCTAATTAAAAATATAAAGTGAGAACTGTACACTTTGTATTCTGTGTTGTAACTGAAATCAATATATTTGAAAAAATAGAAAACATCAACAAATATTTAACTAGACTGTACTGTATTTGCCCCCCCTCTTTTTTTTTTTTGGTGGCAGTGGGGGGGGCTCTGCTGCTGCCTGGCTGCATACTTCAGGTTCCAAATAAGGTGTGTGGTTGACCAGACAGTTTGTGACCCGGAGGTTCTGCCGTACACAATTCACCTTCACACAATAATGACTAAAACAAAACAGAAAACCAAGCCCCGGAAGTTTCAAAAGGAACAAGACACCAGCCTGATTAAATCACAGCTCTGATTTAATCAGACAAATTCCTGTGCCAGCTAACATGGGCTAGTGGGCCCCAAGCTAAAACGCTGTCTAATTTTGGGCGTAGACCCTGGAGCTCTGGCTCCAGCCAGAGCATCTACACCACAATTCAAGAGCCCCTTACCCCCAGCCTGCTGGCACAGGCCAGCCGCAGGCGCTTAACTGCTGCACAGACACACCCGCGGGGGGGAGGGGAGGGAAGAGGGGTGTTCACTGCACCCACTCCCCCTGCGGCGCCCCCACAGAGCCCGCCACTGCTCCGCAACGCGCACGCCGGGCTGTGGGGCAGCAACGCCGGGGACCGCGGAAAAAGGCTCGAGGACGTCTCCGCGCGCCGAGCTCGCGCCGCAGGGGAGCGCCGCGCCGCGGGCGTCCTGAGCCCAAGCACACGCCGCTCGGCGCTCTCCCGTCTGCCGACACGCAGGGGCTAGCCGCCGGGGCCGCGAGCTGCATGGCGGCGAGCCCGCTGGCGCCCCGCCGGGAGGGGGAGCAGGGGTTCTCCCAGTGGAACAGGCAAGCCCCGTTGCGGAGGGCATCCTCCGGCCAGGGAGGGGCAGAGCGGCTTGCCGGGTAGGACAGCGGGTGTTCCATTCTCAGGCGTGCGGCCTGCTGGTGGCGCCGCGTCACGCGCCCAGTACGTGCGCCACTCCGTTCTGGAACCTTCCCCCAGCTAAAGAAGGGGAGAAAGAACAAGAAAGGTGCCAGAACCTCCCATATATGGGCAGCGTCGGAAGCATTTACGTCATGGCGTCGCGTCGTAGCGTGTCTGCGGGCCGCGAGCGGAACGTGACAGCGTTGTGCCCTGCACAGCGCCCTGGAAACCAAACAGTAAACAGCTCGCGGGGGAGGGGCGGCTCAGTACGCAGGCGCACGGGGAGCTTGTCGCCGAGGGTGGGCTGCGAAGCCCTCTGGTGAGGAGTCGGGTGCCAGTTGGGAGGGGTTCAGGAGCCAGCTGCCCGGCGCGGCACGTGAGGCGGGGCAGGGCTGGGTGAGCTGCGGGTCTCTGGTCAGCGGCGTCCCCAGCAGCGCGGGGCAGGCCTGGCCTCTGCGAACAATCCTCCGTCCCAGGGAGCAGCGCCCAGGTTTAAACCCCTTTGCGGGCCGCCCCTCCGCGCTGTGACCAGAGGCCAGTGCCAGGGAGTGATCCCTCCGGGCCTAGCGCCCTGTGCCTGGGGTCTGTACCCGCGGGCCCCCGCTAATCCGCTGCTGCCTGTGCCGGCCGCCACGCACGGAATAAAGGGCAGGCCGCAGCAGCCAGAGGCCGGAGCGGGCAGAGCAGCTCCCCGGCGGCTGCAGCAGCGCACGCCCCTTGCGTTTGCTTGGAAAAGAGAGGGGTGCTTCTCCCGGCGGGGACAGCGGCGCTGCCTGATTACCCTGTGAAGAGCGGTTCCTTGGGAGAAGGAGTGGGGCGGGCTCGAACCTTCCCTCCTCCGGCAGAGTTATTGTGTGTCCATGAACCATCTAGTGTGATCAATGACCCGGTTGCCACTGGGAAAGCTCCCAGTCTCAGGCTGTTATTTGGGAGTTTACCTTTGGGCAGTACTAACTTCTTGTCATGGCCATAAAGCTGCTGACACTGAAAAGTGCCTTCTCCTCTTGGTTTCTTCTGTAAGGTAAAGCCGGGCGCAGAGGAAGATTAAATCTGTCAAATCCTTCTGTTTTTCACAAGCACAAAAGTCACGTGAATTTATTGATGAATAGACGATTGCTACCTTTTCCCAAAGTTTGGAATTGACTAATACTGGAAACCTCTGTGATTACCTCAAGCTGCTCAGTAATTACACAAAATAAAAATAGACTTATGGATAATGAATTTTCAAAACTGTATTTAGAAATATCTATCACTCCTCTTTGATGGTGAATGATGCAGATGTCTCTACCATCAGACTCTGCCATTGTACCCATACTCTAGCAGTAGGTCTAGTCTGATGATGTAGGATAGGGCTAAGGAATGGATCTCATTTAAATGCAAGTCTCAAAATTGTAATTTCTCCTAAATTCAAATAGAATCTGCATCTGTGCAGTCCTAATCTAGATGCCAGATTGTTAGGATAACTAATTCATATTTGACTGTTAATTCTGATTTAAATATATTTAAAACTCTTTGAACTGTTTTTTTGTGATTTACTGTTTGTAATTAGATATAGTGATTAGACTTTTTCTTATACTGCTATGCAGTTTCCCCCTAAGAATTAACTAGAAGTACTGCAGTCTATAGCATCAATAATTCAAGAGCAAAGAAAGATTCACAATAGGCCAATAATACTCAGTTTTTCAATAATATTCTGTTTTATTTTTACCAATATCTGTGTAACGTACCAAAATATGATTGATAATTGAAGAATATGTATATATTCCAAGTGTAGATTTGCATGCTACATAACACCCTCCCATGGAAATATTCAAACAGAAATAGTTCTTCCTCATGCAGTTAATCACATATGCCCATGTAGTCCCATGGAATGGAACAGTCAATAAGATCAGACTATGGCTGTGATCCTGCTGTTGGATCTTTGTGGGCATACTCTTGTTCCCACATAGACCCCCACTGTAGTTCAAGGATCTGCTTGCAGATCCAGTTGCAAGACAGGCACCTACGTCTATACTATAGACCAGAGAATCAGGACAAACAGATTGCTAGGGATCACTGTCTGGCTTACCTGAATTAGCTACTCATCCTGGGTGAAATCCTGGCTCTACTGAAGTCAATGACAAACCCTTCTCCCCATTTTGCAGGTAGTACATGGCAAATAAATCAGACCCAGGATATGGCACTATTGCCCCGCCGCCTCCAGGTGAGGGATGGGGGTGGGGGGGAACCTGAGCCTGGGCTTCCTTCCAGTGAAGGATTGGGGGATGGGGGAAGGAGAGCCCAAACCCAGGTAGGGGTCTGGCTGTCCCCTTTATTCCTGCCAGGTGTGCATGGCCCTGCTGCCTGAGCCCCAGCCACCCAGAGCTAGCAGCCGGAGCTCTTTTAAAAAACAACCCACACAGCTCCTGCCTCCCTTGGGAGGTCCGCCGCAGAGTTTGAGAACCTTTGATCTATGCTTTGTTAGGTACTTCACCAAAATCCAGCACCTCACCTTTGAGGAGAGTTTAGATTGTAAACTCGGATCCATGGACCTCACCTTGATACTTGCATGTCAAACACCTTGCACAGTATTAGAGCTATATCTATGTGTCACCTCATGGTTTGGTACTGCTGCCCATTACCGTAGTGTTGGGGGCATTTTTCATGTAAAATGGCTTGGCAATATGAAAGTACCAGTTTCTAAGTTTTTAATGTCTGAGAGTAGGACCTAGGATCAATGCTTGAGATCTGTGTCATATTCTGATAATGGTAGATTCCTGTTTAATGTTGTAAAGCAGGAAGTTACATAAATATTATCTTCACACAGTGTGGGGCCTTCCTGTTGAGAGGCTGTGAAGCTGCAGTATGGATACAAAGTATGGTGCACTCTGTATATGCCTGCCCTTGTATATCAGTTTGGGGGAAGAGGCAGAGCATACTGTGGAAGCCAGAAAAATGAGAGTTAAATTAACTAAACCCAGAATGGCTGTAGTAGCTTCCAACATTTAAAGCATTCCTGCAGGTGCTGCATTCAGTGCATACTGAAAGAACTCCAGCATTTTCAGTACCGGTAACCAAATGCTACTGGGGCCAGCAAGACATTCCTGCCTCAGGAGCTTTCCTAGTGCTCTGTAGAAGAATCACCAGTCACCTTGGGTTGGAAGCTACAGATGATTTAGTTGGTTTCACGCATCACTGCCCAGGACAAATGCAGCAGCTGGGAAGCATGTCAGGCTTCTTTCTCTGCAGAATTTCTAGAGTTACCTAAGGGACATGGGTGGCCCGATTGGGCTTTACACTCAGTTAGAAATAGCAATGGTTTCTTATGTGAAAGTAACTGCTGGCCTGAGGAATTGATTCCTTGAAAAAAACCTTTAACAGGTGACCCTTCTAGCTAAATCTGGACCTCTTAAGACATTGACATGGCTTCTGAGCCTTCTTTTTTGCCCTTGCTCATTCATCACTGTCATCAGGTTTTTAACGATCTCATCACTGGATTTTAGGGAGACAGTAGAACAGCTCTCCTGCATCTAAGCCCTCTCAGTGCTGAAAGCTGCTTAATTCCAAATTACTTTTAATAGGTTGGATATTCCCCCTCAGAAGAGCTGAGTTTCTGTGCCCAAGCATAGAGGGGGGTGGGGGAAGAGAGAGAGAAAGAGACACCTTAAGAAGAGGGGGAAGTCTATTTTAAAAACAGGCTCAAGGGGAGGGAAATGAATCCACACAGCAGTTGGGCTCTTCCACCTCATAGAAAATATATAACCATCTCCATCTTAGCAGGTATATAAATAAGGCTAATGGAAAGCGAGGGAGGGAAGAAAGTAAAAGGGAAGTGTTGAAATTGCTTTAATATACAAACATTTACTGCCATTAGAACTGTGGTATAGGAGACACTTTAGGCACTTATGTTTATGCATTCTAAAAACATGTGATAGGGAGATGCTCAGATTTTGCTACACCAGTATTTGTTACAGAAGAGGGGCATCAGACAGGAGTTAATGGTTTCCTGTAGTATTTAGGTTCTGCAGAAACTAGACTGCCTTGTAAGAGTGAGTTTCCAGCACTCCTGGTTAAAAGGAAATATGGCAAGTGTTTACTGAACACAAACCAGGGTGTGTTGTTTCTGACAGCATGTTGTTTCAAAATACTGACTCAAGTGTCAGCTTCCCTCCTCAATCTGTTTGGAATATTTACTCTGATGCAGTGATGAGGCCACTGTTAAATACATACTGGTATTGCTGATCATTTTTGATAGAGGGAATGGGAAAAGGCCATACTTGGGGAGAAAGATGAGGAAAACAGGAAGGAGAAGAAGTTACTGTAGAGAATAAAACATGCTGCAGAGGGAAGAACAATGTCCTTCCAGACAGACAAGATAAGAATCAGTGCAAAAAAAAGTTCTAGAAAGTGAGGATACATTCCCCTCCCCACCCCCAAAATGTTGAATCTTGTATAATTTAAGTTCAGCTACCCCCTAAATCACTCTAGCCTTGACTTTGCTTCTGTCTGAAATTGGTAGGTGACTACTAGGCATCTTAGATTTTCACTGACTTAGACCACAGTTGAAGGCCAGCAGAATTTATGCCTGTCTGCAAAATGAGGGGACAGGCAGCATATGAAAGGGAGATTAGAGTGTTTGTACGTGGAAGTTAGGAAATAGCACATTTGAGCCCAAGGGTACTTTGTATCTTCCCTATTAAGTAGGGAGTGTAACATTTTACAGCACTTGGCTGTTATAGAAGTTCCATTAAAGATCCTAAAGCGCGTATAGCATTCAACTTAAATGCTTTTATTGACAATGTCTCTGAACAATAATAAGCAAACAATGCTTAAGTGTCATCCAAATTCACTTTCCACATGTCAAAAAGACCTCAAGGTAGAAAAAAATAAAATAAAAATATAAATATCTGAGAATCCATCTTAATAAATAAAAAGACACAATAAAAACGTTTTCATGGAAAACTTATGTCAGAACATTCAGACCACCTCAACGACGCATGATCAGTACAGTTACAATGAACATTGATGTAGGAGAACTACAGTACATGGATATAGCTATTTATCTCTATCTACTAGAAAATAAGATATATAGTCTCTTTTCCCCAATTAAGATGGGTCATTGCTAAAGTCATCAGAACACGATATTGCCAGGAACACAGTAGTTATTGTTAAGTCAGCTGCACTAGATACGAGTTGGAGATACCCAGCACCAGGTTAAATTCCAATCATTAAACCAAGAGATTAATTAATGCTAGTGAATACTAAATAGGGAAGGGGCGTCACCAACCCAGCCATGTTGGACATGCTACAGACTACCAGCTCTCATGGATGGGTCACTGGGGGACAAGACGACAAACTCCATGCGATTTGCTACATCTCTGGAAGAGGTCTCAGGCCTGGCTGCGGATCGCTCCGCAGGGTCCTTTAGCGCCGGACCGGCCTACGCACGCCCAGGGGGAGAAGGACTCTTTGCCCTCCCCAGGTCTGGGGTGTCGGGCTCCGGGAACCCCCCCAGGAAGAAGGTGGATCTTTTGCGGTGAAAGGCCCCTCACACATAGCAGCAGATGGGAGGCTCAGGATCCGCCGTGTTCGCCCTCGCCCTGCAGTCAGTGCCCTGGGGCTGCGGCCCCTCACAAGGCCAGCAGGGTCGGGGAGCTGAGCGAGTCGGAGGAGGGCTCGTTGCTGCTACTGCCCTTCCTGTGCGCGGCTGCACAGCTGGGGAAGGAGTCGGCCTCAGGGTAGGTGAAGACGAAAGTAGAGGTGTAAGTGCTGGGGCAGGGGGTGCAGGTCACCACTGGGGTGCAGAGCGGCTCGAGCTCCCCGCAAGCCCCGGCCGCCAGGGGCTCCCAGTCCGCCGCGTAGAAGGATGAGGAGCCGGCCAGGTCCATGTCGGGCACGGAGCGGGCAGTCTCCCGGGACGAGTGCGGGAAGAGGAATTCATCCAAGGGCTCGGGCTTCAGCTCCAGGCTGCTGCTCGCTTTGGAAGGCTCCGGGAGGGGCTCGGGCTGAGCTGCCTCCTGCAACATGGGCAGGGCGAAGGCGGCCTCCTCGGACTCCGGGGGGCTGGGCACAGGTGCCTCGCCCAGGCCGCTGAGGTCCAGCGAGGAGACAGCGAGCTCCTCGGAGAACTGCAGCTCCTCGGGGATCTTGCAGGCTGGCCGGTGCGCAGCCAGGATGAACTCGAGCTTCTCCTTCTCCTTAAGCAGGTTAGCGATCTCGGTCTGCAGCGTGGACTTCTCCTCCTCCAGCTGATCGGTCTCCTGCGGGC